TAGATAGCTCATTTATCCCGTGTATAATCGAGTCTCGACGATTTTTATCTTTTTTCGATACCGATACACGAATGCTGTTTATTAGCCATGATAATGTTCAATTTCATACAAGTATAACAGCGTAAGCAGTTAGGTAAGTACAGTCGCGAACTTTAATTTGGAACCCATTTAAAGTTGAATAATGAATATTGTACGGCAAATGTATTAGAGCTTAAGTAAGTAACTTTAGCGTGCATGTTGTTAATGTTGGTATTGACAACACGCTGTGCATTGGCGTTACTAGGGCAACTGATCTTATGTCTATTTTTATAACATATCTCGTCTTTAATATAATAATTCTATATGAATATAGTGCAACTTTAATAAAACACATGAGACATGAGACTTATGGAGTTATTAAATACTAATTAATTAATTAACGCCTTTAATACGTCATACGCATATTTTTAAGTATAATATTACTATTGATTTGGAGCTTTCGACCTTATTACATATATATGCAGGCATGTCTAGGAAATGGTATTGATGTTTGCTACTGCATCACCAAATTGATATAAGTTTGTAATCGCGCAAGAATATTTACTTGCATGATTTAACTACAAATTAATGAATTTCGGAGTTTCCGTTTACTTGTCCTACGAGTATGAGACCATGGGAGGTCATCTGTATTTTGATGAGATGAGGATGCGATTGTCAAAATATGTGGCAATAAGCCGTATCTTTGACCTTAGAGGCCGTAAAAGTTCATTCAACCTTTTTTATAGTGTACAATCATTATCTTTATTTAATATCAGCCTCAATCGTCATCGTATCTGCTGAAAATTTTACTTTTTAATAAGCACATAAGATAAAAAACTACATTTCGATCATAATTTTAAAATGAAACATAGTTCTACTGAGCATCAGATGTTAAACGATCACAACTGCCCAGGAACATTTGCAACACCAAATAATTTGCTGGTGCAGGCCTTTTAAATTGGAATAGAGTGGAACTACTAAAACTTGATAAAATCATATTTTTTAGTTGAATTCATTCTGTATAATGAACTACCAAACGAAACGAAATACCAAATTATGTTTCTAGGCAGATCTAAATTGCAAATGTTATCTTACTAAGCCCAATTAAGTAAATGAAACCATCCTAACTTTTCCATTAACACCATAAGAAACTCCGCTTGAGTGTTCAGATTTATTCCAAAAGTTACGTCGAGGGATTAAAGTTTATTAATAATGTAACTGGCACAGTGATAATAAATTAGCTTTTCAATTGAACTTATTAAAAGAGTATTATTTGCTAGCAGCTAGTAGGATTAAGATATATTTGATCTAAAAATTTATAAAATGTGTTGTGTTAATGAAATATTCATTTTTATCAATGATTCATAATCCTGACATAAATCCAACTCAGCTTAAAAAGCATAACCAGAAGACCAGAAAATTGCGTTTGATGACTATAGCGCACTGAATTAATACGTATCACACTAAAAGGAGCGGCACTGCACACGCTCAGAGCGTTTATGTTTGACGGCTCGCAGTGGCTAAAAGTTTAGAGAAAAAATTTACATGGCGTAGACATTTGTTCAGGGTCTGAATGCTATACGGGTGAAATTTAAAGCATGGGAGCAATGTCTAAAACATTGTATGTACACGTACTACTTGCACATCGGCTCTTACGTTTGCAGTTATAGACTATCAGTTGTCAATAAAGTCGGTATTACGATGGAAATAATCGTATAATTTTTTCATACACGATAAGGAAAACAGACTTTTATTTTACATTTGCGATGTATCTGATGGTACAGCTTCTTAAATCATAATCTTTGCTTTTCGCAAGAATATCATTTAATTTAGAATTTTAAACTGAATAGAGACGTATAAATGAGTTAGAAGACTGTTTCGACTTCAACACACGAAATTATTAATTATAGTAATTAATAATATTATATTTTTAGCTCCAATTGTAGGTAATCTGCAATAAAGATAAAACAAATTATGTTTAGAATTTTTAAAACAAACTCTGAAAACTACTGTACACAGCTTTACCCATATTATAATTAAAAAATAATAATATGTAATAAAATGGAATTTTATTAGAACGTTAGTGTAACAATTTATTTTACTGAACCAGCGGATCACTAGTGCAGGAAATTAAAAAAATACAGTCGTCAATTTTATTATAGCCCTTACTAATCAAACTACGTTTAACAATATTTTTTAACTTCTCTATCAGCTCTGAAAGTTTTTTAAGAAATTTAGTACATTTTAATAGTTTACATAAATATGAATCCTAAATGCAGCATGTATAAAGCCAGCGGGCTAATTGAGTGTTTTAAACTCAGTGGAAAAGAAGAAATTAATTAAGGGAAAAGAGTGTTTTTTTTTTCTTCGAACTTTTTCATAGAATTTTGGAACAAAAAATGAAGTATTTTGCATTTTCAAAGTATAATATAACGGTGGAGAAGGTAAAATTTAAGTATTTTTAATAACAGGATCAACTGATGATCAGAAACGAATTATTGACATAAATGTATGCTTAAAAGTAGCTTGAATTACACAACAAATTTCAAACAGCTTATCAAGTACTAAATGACATTTTTGTAACGATAAAGTATTAAAATCTATTTTTATCAAAAGCAATGACGTCATATAGCCGATTAACCTACGTTACATACATTTGCAACTTTTACACAATTATATTATTATAAACATTACTGCCAAATGAAGTCATCAAATAACAATTTTCTGACTACACTTTTTATGTCACACACACACACAAGTTTTGCTAATGTGCACGAGGATAAATAAAAACAACAATTTAAAAATATATATATTTATAGAAAATGAATGATAACCTTATCTGAGATGATGTAAAATTATTTTTTTCTGCCTATTCGAAGATAATCATGAAAAACATAAATGTTAACTTTTAGGCACATTAATATCGAAAATAAATAAAACCACATCCATTATTTTAAAATTGAGACTAGTGTTGCCAGGTCTAGCAAGTAATATTTCGGGACGGAAGGTAAAAATAATCGGGAATTTGGTTTTCACATCGGGACAGCTACAACATACAGGTTTTTTGTAGCCTTTTTGTGCTTTATAATTATTATTCGGGTCTGATCTCATGAACGAATAATTTTTCATCCAAACATCGTAAAAACTGCATATTCTTCGTCTAGGTTTTTGAAAAAAAAATTAGGATAAACATCAAGTAATTAGTATATAAACTGACATTTTCATTACTTGATAAACAGTAAATTCAAATAAACTATATAATCTTGTATTAATAATGGGAAATATAACTGAACAGTAAGTAGGCAAGTGAGGTATTTGCGGCATAAATTTTAGGTCGTGTCACATACATGTACACAGACACGTACACACACACACACACTTGTTGTGTTCACGTGCCGTGAATCATAGATACCATTACATTCTGCTCTGCAAAGAAAACTACTTCGCTTCACAGGACTATTGGAATGCGTACAACTACAAGCTTTTTTATTAAACCTTCATATTACGTAAACAGTAAACACAGAACATTACTTGAGAAAAACAGTATTGAAGAAGGTTATACATTGACAACTAATAATATATTTAGTATATTCAATATTTAGAATATCATGGATATAATATTAGTAATATATATATATATATATATATATATATATATATATATATATATATATATACTTATACTTATATAGAAATTATACTATAAAGAATTTAATATTTATAACTATACAGATTAGGATGTTCAATGAAAGCAAGAAAGTTACCTAACTAGTTCGTATAATGTGATAATGTGTTTTTAATATCGATTTAGAACATTTAAGTTTAAAATATGTTACAAAATTAAGTATAACGGCATTAGAACCGCAAAACTGTTAAATTCCATAGATAAAATAATTTAACATTAAATCTTGTTTGCTAGTCAAAATATGCCACGACAGCAAGTTATTATTATACCATTATGTGGGATTCTTTCTACTAATAAAACAATAGATATGGTCACTGACAAAAGCCCTTTCATTTTATAACATACCATGAGAAAAAAAAATGCGTAACACCTGCGTAGTGTAAAATCATCGCAAATTAAACGGACCTCCGTGTTTAGTGGCGCGTGCGTATACGTTTGTCGTGAATTGCGCGACATGAGGAAATAAACATCGTACCACAACTGTGGCAATGTGGCACCAAATTTGGCAAGTGCGTAACGTTGCAACAGTGCACGATGCATGTACTCGATACGCTGCTATGAGCCACTGACTTTATTTTAGTGTTATTTAAAGGTAATATTCCTTTTAAGAGCTCGAACGTTTTTCTAGCGATTCAATTACATGAATGTACAATTTGTAATAAAATACTGCTGAATTGAATAAACTTTATTACTTATTTCTTATTATATGCTTAGCTTATTGCATTAAACTATGCTGCAATAGTAATTACAAGATTTCTTCGACGTTTTGACGCGGTAAAATATAGTGGACGTCTTTCGTAGTAGAAGTTTAAAATGGATCCACCACCATGTCGTCTCGTGGACTGTTATGGGAAATACTAAAAAAATCGCATGGCCTAAGACACATAGCCGTATCACAATCTAGTGAAAACCGGATTTTGAAGTTCTAGACGTCTGGTAGTGGTATTCATAATCTACCTGCCTAGATTGTCGCTTGTGGCAATCCTCTCTACCACAAGAGAGGACAATGTCCAACAGTAGACTGTTACGGGCTGATGAATACCACGTTTACCATTGCTTAAAATTCATCAGCATCAAACTTTAGCATTGCTTTAAAATTGTGATCTTAATGTTAATTAATTTTGTATGTTAGTCATATAATATCACATTATATAATATACTTGCAATTATAAAAATAGAGAATTAAAAAGCAACATTTCTCTTTTTGAAAATTGTAGCGCTATACGAGACATTACGCAATTCAAATGTTAAAATTAGATATAATTTTAATATTACGGTCGCCATTTCCTGCACTTACATAAGAAGCAGCATTTCTGCTGTGAGACGGCCTTGATGGAGCTGGCCGTGCGGGCTGTGGTGGCACCTTTAATTGCCTTCGATCGAATGAGGACGCATGACTTCCGGACCAGCCCCAGCGGCTCGCTCCGTTGGAACCATGAGGCAAAGAATACGAAGACTGTGGCCTCAAATGCCTTACACTAGGGCCGGACAATATAGGACCAGCCGGACCGCGTTGAGGTCCTGCGTTGTTTGGTCCTTGCACATAATGGTAGTGCGGTGGATTCGACACAGCAGCACCCCACATACTACTAAATCACTTTTACAAGACTCGCTAGCGCAACACTGAACACAAACAATCACCACATCACACCGACTACGATTGCACTACTAACGCAATTTGGCATTCCGTAGGTTTCACAAATCACCTTATCAGCTTAATAGTGATAATTGACCGATGATTTCCTTTTTATTATTCCACAACATAGCGATAACGCGCGAACCGAACTACCAATCTGCAGCGAGCGGTTCGAGCCACTGTTCGCGATAGAACACACGCTTCAAAACGATCACTTGGAAAGCAAACATCGCCGGATGGATATGCGACGCGTCAAGAATTAATTTATATTTGATGGACAATTGTTACGTACGTAAAAGGTTACTATTGAACTTGGCGTATGTAAACACCTGCACGGTTTACTTTTAAACAAAAGTTCGGTCACTGAAGCCGTACTAAAAATACACAAACCGTTTCGAAAATCACAAACGATGACAATTGCGGGGTAAAACGTACGCACCGTTCACATTAAATGAGATAGCGAACAAATACGTTTTGTAGACGAGCACTATAAAAGTTTTCATCACTGAATATCATAATTCAATAGTAACTTATAGCGTCGCTTGATGGTTCCAGTAGAGCGAGCACCGCAAGAGAAATCAGACTCGACACATCCAATCCATCGTGATGGACGGCGTGTGAGTTTGAACGCACTTGACTGTAGACTGGTTGCGTGCTGGCGCTGGCGGTGGTTCAACGCAACGAAGCGTTCCACGCCAACCGTCCGGTCCTGGCAATTGCATTATAATTTTTCGCAAGGGCGAGCGGAGGCGGAGAGGGCGCGCGGGCGGAGAGCGGTGGCAGTGGAGCGTGCAGCAGCTGCTTTGCGGCCGCAGCCCGACGAGACTTGTGCACTGAGCGCTAACTCGAACACAACATGTTCACACTGCGTAAGTCAACCCACCCACCGAATCCACAGTTCATGATGTCGGCCTTTAATTACGCAAAATAGCACTTACTAGATACAACCGTTTATCGTTTTACGTAAATTAGATTTGCGCAATGTCATCTTAACACAATATGGTACTTTATCTTTATTTCAAAATGACACGAAAGTCGGCAAAATGAAGTTACAAAAGTTTCGTCGTCCCGCGACGGCAAACGTCTAAGTATGGATAAGTGGCATTAGTATTCCAAGACCGGTGCACGACTGTAGAAGCGGGGTGAACTGTCCAGAAGAGTCACCGCCCGACTAATCGTGATGCGAATGTGGAAGCGACCTTTGTGGCCTGCATACATTCCATGCTTTTACAGCAGAACTACGCATCACCATAACCGTACGACATTGAGCAACGCGACCCACATACATTATTTGTTTTACGGTCCGTTAGTTATTTTATAGGTCTCGTTGTGCTATTCAAAAGCGAATAGCTTGGTAAAAATGTTGAAGTATATTACAGAAATATGTTTGGAGCAATATATAAAAACGGTAGGTACCGACGAACGAACGGTGAGTTGCTGAGTAACAAACACCAAACCAAAGCATCTGAATGTTTTACAACAGGTGCGCCAGACTTACATTAAAATTTAGTTTGTAATGCACTTGGTAATTCATTCTGCATTCTATTTTAAGGTTACACATAAGATATACATAAGTGTGATTAAATTATGTTTTACGGACAACCACTCTATAATATAGTACTTTCTTTTTATTTCTTAAAGAGCCCGTAATAATATACGGTTGCATATGGAGGTTGCAGGAAGAATTTGCAATATAATTGAAAAGCGCATTTACGATCACAGTATTTAATTTTTTGCACTTTTGACACCATCCTCCGTCGCCCAGACCGGCTTTACAACAATCAAATACGATATGGTATACCGCCATTTATCACGAGGTTCTTCTGGCATTTCATTGAAAACTCAACTTACATCTTGGGAAAACCAAGGAACAAACGCACACGTAGTAGAAGCCATGCTGCAGCATTATAGTTACAGCACGAATGAGTCGGCTCATCCGGGGAAGTACCACGCTCACACAATCCCAGCGTAAAGTAGCAGCTTAATGCTGCTGTTTCGTATGGTGAGTGTAGAGAACCGGAGACCCGTTTTACTAGAATCGAGGCATTGTATCATAGTCCCCAGAGGTGACAACGCACCTGAATTTCAATTCTTAATCGAGGAAAGATGTAGATGTCTATGGGCCACAGCATCAACTTACCGAGGTGGACTGTGTTCCCGTTTGTCACTATTATACTATAAAAATAACTAAAATTATATATGTAATACAAATATTAATAGATAGTACGTACTGCCAGGATAGCTTATTCTTTGTGTGACGCGTGTCAGTACTTTAATGTTGATTGATTGGAGATAAGATTGTTTTTGTAGGAAAATTAAAATTATGTATTTTTATTTAGCTTATTAGGTTCTGCTGCGTGTATTTATGTTATTTTAGATGAAATAATATTACAATTAAATATAATAATTTAATATAACGATTATACAGTCATAATATGGTAAGACATGCAGGAAGTCGATGGATGCAGGTGGCTCAGAATCGTGCTTTATGACATTTCTTGGGGGAGGATAAATTCAGCAGTGGACTTGTGAAGGACTGTAATGATGATGAGGATTACGATGGTACTGATGATAATAAAAAACAATAGGAGCTTCTAAAATGTGTACTTTAGACATAGGATCTATTGTAAAATATTCAACTGTAAATTATTTATAAAGAATATAGCCCTAAAACGATTTAATAAATACTGATGTGTGGCTAATGTTTTGTATATAATGAGTTCAATCTTACCCTTATTGTTCAAATGAAAAAATAAAGCAAACAACAATACGAATGGGAAACAAAGGTTTGCGTTAAAACACGCTACAATTCACAATAAATTCCGCGTCAAACAATAAGCACAAACAAATAAGAGAAACTAAAACATGGCTACTGTTTAAGTCACATAACATTAAACAAATCGCAGTCCAGTTAACAGCAAATTGGAGGAAACTATACATTGCGCATAAAAATATATCGAGCAATAATCGATTACTTTACTGTTGTTCGAGTTTGAAGTTTCAATTACTTATACCTGCAATTAAATTGTTTTTGATAAAAGATTTAAGAAAGTATTTTTTATGATTAAGTAAGAAACTTATCTTTAAAAACTATAATTAAATAAAACTACTTAGACGGATTTTATCACGTTTAATTTGCATTAAAAATGCTGAAGGTACTCCGGGTTAACTCTGACATCGAGACGTCAATCACCTCAGTCCCCCGTGACCATGAGTGCTGGAAAGCATCCGAAATACCGGGTATTAAAATCTAGTAAATTAAACGCCATAAAATCTTTAAAAGTACTTTTGTGTTCGCGTAAATATAAGAAATCATTATAAACATCATATATACATAAAACATATTTATATAATATTATAACGCTTTGATAACAAGTGATATTTACCTTTCCATTTAATAGAACATTAAATAGAATATCTAATTCATAATAATATATCAAAATGATTCCACCGGAATAAGAAAATATTTGATTGTATCTTGTAATAAAAGGTAAAAACTGATAGAAAATAAAATAATTTGCCAATTTAGGCAGGCAATATATAACGACAATTATTAGAGCTGACCTTCATTTAACACCTGAACGCTGCAGCTAACGAAGTAAACATTGCAAACATCCCATTTGCGTCATTCGGAAACGCATTAAGAAAACGTGACGCCATAAAAGCGCAATATCCGACCGACATAGCAACGAGTACCGGTAGCGCAATACGTAGTATGACATTACATTGAGTTATAGAAAGCGGTTTTGATTTGCACACCTAAAATTTTCCACTTTATATTAAAATATTATATATTGTATAAAAGTATTGTGATAGTTATTAAAGAAAAATAATTTATAGTCATTAGTAAATATGTACCAATATTCATTTATATCAAGTAATCAAAAATGCACGTCAAGAGTAAACATATTACAGCGCTGTTTTATAAACATATATATATATATATTCTACGAGAATGCTAACTCTGTATGCCTTGCCTATTATCTAAACGGTTGGTTTTATTATTTATATCTAGATTAATAATAAATTCTCGAGCAAACAATTTTAAAGAAACTCATGATTATCAAAAAGTAAATATAGGAAGTAAAAAACTAAACCATAGTACCTAAGTAAAAAATCAAACAAATACTGAGCTCGATAATTAAAAGAAATTTTACCAAGACTTCAAATTGTTATCGAATATGTTTACATAAGACTATTAAAACCATTTAAATAAGACCACTGTAAAAGTCAACTATTCTGATAAAAAAAATCAGCAATATCCTTGGAAATATGTCAGAAATACAGTCGCATTTAAAACCTTTTCCGTTTCTTAAATTAATGGGATATCAGACAAATACCCATTATACAAACGATTTTTAAAATCAACTATATATAACAATCATCGCATTATCAGAACTCGTATAATCTGTCATTAGTATCTTAATTTTTACTGTTTGAAATACGGTCTTAGTTATAAATAAACACACACACACACATATATATAATCCCCTCCAGCCATCGCCCCATTAGCCTCCTCAAGGCAATGGGCAAGCTCTTCGAAAGAGTCATCCAAATTCGTATGAGGCGCTATCTGTTTCCCACAGACGGCGACCCTCTTATCATTCCCCATCAATTCGACTTCCGAGCCAAACACTCATGTCCCCAACAAATTCACCGCATTGTGGAATATATCCTCAGCGGTTTCTATCCTCGTCGTCATAAGACCATCGCGGTCTTTTTCGATATAGCCAAAGCTTTCGATAGAGTCTGGCACACAGGCCTCATCTACAAGCTCTATAAAATAGGTCTCCCCGATCGTCTAGTTCGTCTTGTGGCCTCCTATTTAAAATATCGTACCTTTCGTTTCAGACACGAAGGCACGCTTTCTTCACAGCAAACTATCAAGGCTGGTGTCCCTCAGGGCTCAGTACTTGCTCCTCTGCTATACATCCTGTTCACCAACGACA